ATATATATATATATATATATATATAAAATACTTGCTGAAAAAGCTAACTTTTCGGTTATCTAATTTATAGCCAGGTGAAACTTGTTTTTCAGAGGTGCGATTTATTTTTCGCCAGTAGGTGGCGACAAATCTCATTTCACCCTTTTCTGTTTCTCTTTTGACCGTTCCGTAACTATAATCATATTCATATTCATCAGCGTGTTTCTCCATTTTGATGGCTGAATAGGGAGCTACCTCTGGTCAAGAGGAAAAAGCAGAAGTGAATTGTGAGCTGGTTCCGGTTTGGTTGTTTAGAGACACCTGTGGAAAGCCAGTGAGGTTAGTTCCTCTGAGCTGCTGAGGAGGAACCAGATGGTGATGGTGATCAAATCGCTCTCACCATCAGCATAAAAAAAGAAGAAGAAATAAAACAAGAAAATCAGTTAAATCTCAGAAAACACCACAAAGACTGTTCTGAAAGTATAACAACATTTTAAGGTGATTTAGTCTAATAATTTATTGGCGCAAGAGTGAGAGTTTTACAAGAGGAGGGCGGGGTCAGGGTCGGCTGGGGCGGGCGGTGCTTTCGGTCGCCCATGCCCCCTTCTGCCCTCTCCACTCGCTGCGGGGGGAAGAAGCGTGAACTTGAACGCTACTGCCTGCTTTCCACCCGCTCAGCGCCAGTCCAGGCGGAGGCCAGCCAGCTAGTCTTGTCTTATCAGTTCGTCCCCGCCGGTGGAGTCTCGGTCAGCTTATCGGAGCCGAAGCAGCTGGACGGGCGGGGAGGGGGGTTCTGCTTTTTAGGGGGGTTTGGGACCCAGAAAGGTGCCCGACAAGGCGTCGCGATGTCCAGGCGCAAACTTGGGAGCCGACCGCAGCACCTGAGTGCGATTCAAGGTAAGCCAGGAGGGAACACGTTGGAGTGTTTTTTTTTTTCTTTTCTTTTCCTTTAAATATATTTTCGTAAAAACTTATTAATATCCGGCTTGTGTTTCGTTGTGGTTCAAACTTACGCGCTTATTTGTATCCAATTACTAATAAGCAATATTAAACGGATAATTGATTCGCTGGCAATTCTCAGACACGAGGGTCACATCCTGAAAGTGTGTTTTGTGTTTAATTTGCCGCCGGTGAAGTGTCGTTTGAACGTGTAGCGTTGGAGTTTAAAGGGACATGTTTGAAGAAGCGCTCGGTTTTAATGTCCGCGTCGTTTGTCCTGGTGAGTGTCGGTGTTGTTGCTGCAGCAGTTCCCACAGAGGAAGGACCGGTTTATTGGCTCTACTCAGAGGCTACAGGTCCGAACAAGATTATTAATCAAAACGGTTTTCAGAAAGGTTGGTTTCTTTAAATAATAATAATAATTGAAAAAAAAAGACCCGCACATACACCGGCTCCTCAAAACGAGTCCTCCTGACGTTTTTAATTAAAAACCCCAATTGAAAATAAAAACCAAAACAACATAAAAGTGAACTTATTTCACATTATTATTACTTTTATAAGCACAGGGAGGAAATGAAGACGGGGAGCTGAGAATCATTTTTTACAGTTCTCCACTGCAGACCAGTGGTGCGTGTCTGCTGTGACCACAGGCCCTGACTCAACCCTGTATAGTGTGTGTGTGCGCGCGCGCGCGCACGGGCGGGCACGCACTAGTGCGGGCATGCGCGTGTAACCGCGCCTTGCAAGTCTGCACAAACAGCGCAGGCCTGAAACAGGAAAGGTGACATTTTTGAGTAACAACCGCTGAGATCCGACTTCAGACTGTACTGTCTGTACCTGTCCTGTACGGACAGGCTGCCCGGCCTGGGCAGGTGGATTCAGGTGTGCCCATGACCGGTGTTGAGCAACAGACTCCTGACCCCCCACCTCCTCCTCCTCCTCCTCTCTCTCTCTACCTGAGCTGTGTGAGTTTACTCAAGCTCTTCAGGGGGTTTGGTTGAAGCTTTGTCCACAGACGCTCTGTGGTTGTATTCAAAGCCGAGGACCACATTAGATTTGTCAACTTGTTACCCTCCTCCCTCAGTACTTGGTGTGAACACAGGAAAAAAAAAGAAAAAAAGACGTGGCTGCTCTCTTATCTCAGACACCTTCAGTCACTTTTTTTTCTCTCTTTTATTGCAATCCACTTCCTGTTGAGAAACTCCCGCTGCATGTGGCTGGTAAGGCAACATTTTCTGTTGAGTGAAAGGTGAACGCCTCAGCCGCGATCATTCACTTTCTTCTTCTTCTTCTTCTCTCTTCTTCTTCTTCTAGTTCAGTCATCTCTCTACCAGAGGGCGAGTCATTTTATTAACAGGAGGTTTGTGCTCTGGTGGACCGTTGGGCTCTTTTGTGCTGCACCCAGCCGGAACGAGCACAGATCTGTAACTGGTTTTTAAAGGAAGTGGTCAGCGTTGGCTGAGCAGATTGGCCTCGTTGAGCTTATAAGTGAAACTAGCACTTTCAATCAGCAGGCCTGTTTGTTTGTTCCATTGAGGTCAGCGCTGCTCTCTGTCTGTAATTTAGAGGAGCGCACCAAAAACCGTGGCTGCGTGCAGCACTTAAAACCCAACTTCATTTAGAAGTTAATTGAGACGCCCGGCTTTGTAGTGGATCAGACTTCAAACGACGAGAGTGAAGTGTTTTCTGTTTACATGCTTCTAACGGGGAAAGATTTACGGTCATGAAAATGCACCGATCTCGACTTTTTTTTTTTTGAGGGGGGGGGGGGGGGCAATTATCTTCCCTCTGTCAGAGTCTCGATAGACGGATAAGCTTTATGGTACAAGCTGTCTGTGGGTCAAGACCAAAAGTGATGGGAGTTTGGCGTTTTTGATGCGTTTTCTTTTATGACCTGCAAATCAGAGCCAGCCAGGAAATAATGTGATTCAGATGAGTTGGGTTTGGGGGGTTGGTTTGTTTCTAATGCAATTATAAAAACATCATGTCAAACCAGAGTTGTCAGATGTCTGGAATGATCTGTTCAGCGTAGGAAAAAACAAAATAAGTTGAATTTTAAAAGCTTGAATTTGTTTTTATTACATTCAGAAGTTTAAGCATAATCCAGGAATGTTCTTTACTCTGCTTAAGAGAAGTATCCATCACACCCCAACACAAATAGTGCACAGTTGTGAAGAGGAAGGAAAAATTACGCTTGGTATTCCTTTTTGTTTTCTTTGAAACAGAAATTCATCGTGTGGATTTCTTTAATTATTTCATCTGGGTATAAATCCAGCTGATCTATGAAAGCCTCAGAGGTTTGTTGGAGGAAACGGGATCACAAAGATGGTCAGTGAGCCACATGGAGAGAGATGAAGCAGATTTAGGTCGTGGCACAAGATTCATAGTCCTGAAAGTCTCAGTGAACGCCGTTCGATGCATCACCTCAAAACCAAGACGTGGCCGTCTGCACAAGCAGCCCAGAGGCTCTGGGTAACTCTGGAGGAGCTGCAGTGCTCCAGACATCTGGAAACACTGCCAGGAGGAAGAGGGAGTCCAGTCAAAGGACAGAAAACATGCGGAGGAAACTGCTTTGGGCAAACAGGACAACATTTTGTGACTGGGATGCAACAGCATGTGTGTCGGAGATGAAGAAACCTCCCCCGGTGTGGTAGTGGCAGCATCATGCTGTGGGGATGTTTGTCCTCAGGAGGGAAAGGGAAGCCGGTCAGAGTCGATGGGAATATGGATGGAGAGACCGCTTAAGGTTTGAAGTCTGTTTGAGTTTGAGTGAGTTTTCATTGTATTTTTTACGAAGTGAGCAGAAAATTCATTCTAATGTTCAAAGCTGGTAAAGACGTAACATAGAACACCTGCATATAAATACAAATACAGGAAGCAATTTTACTTTCACTCAATTATGCAAATTCTGCTTTTTCATCAAATGAGGTGTGAACACTTTTCGTAGGCCTCTGCTGGTTCAAATTCAAATTCCTCTGCTCCTTTTTGTTCTTCCTCAGATGTCTGTGATATGGAGGAAGCTGCCGACCCGCCAGGCGACCACCACCTTCCTCCTCCTCCTCTTCCACAGGTCCGAGCCCCAGAGGATGACCTCCTGACCTGTGGGCAGTGCAGCCAGGCCTTCCCCCTGGCCCACATCCTTGCCTTCATCCAGCACAAGCAGGGTGGCTGCGTCTCAAGGAGCCCGGGCTCCGGGGCCACGCCCCCATCACCCGCCGGTCGAGCCGGGCGCCAGCGGGTCGCCGGTGTGGAGCCGCAGCCCGGCTTCATCGAGCTCCGGAGAGGGGCTTCCAGGGGCCGGTCCTGGGGGGACGAGACCGGCTTGAGCGTGAAGGCGGAGCTCAGCAAACCAGGTGAGGCCCCACAACAAGGTGGCAGGTTGCTAACGACTGAGTCTGTGTTTTTGTGTTGTTTTTTTTTTCCAGTCATCCTTTTATTCAGTTAACAACCGCTCCTCCTCCCCCTCGAGCCCAGCTCATTAGCTAGCCGTTGCCATTAGTGCACCCGCTTGAGTTAGTGACACTCGGGCTAATTGCGTGGAAAGGATAGGCGTCAGGAACATTCAGAGGGCACCGCGGGTCCCCCGGGGCCCTGCGCCGAGCACCTGAGCTCCTTCCCGTCTCCCTGGCTGTCGGCCTCTGAGGCGGAGTGGCCAGGTAAACATGTCTCTTCCTGCCTGTCATCCATGATGCTCCGCCTCGGCCAGCGGAGTGGGTCTAACGGCCCCGCCGGCCGCCATGACACCGTAATGGAGGACGTTGCGTCAGCTCCTCAGCTGTCTCCTACCGATCAGCCCCGGGCTGAGCCACCTGAGCTCCTGGGAGCCTCCTCCTCCTCCTCCTCCTCCTTCTGCCTGTTTTCAAAAGGACGATCCCATCTCGTCTCTCTTCTTGTTCTGCCTTAAACTGTGTGTGATATGCCAGCAGCCGCTCTGTCTTTTTCTTCGCTAAAGGCTGCTTTTCTACGCTTCTCCAGCAGCGTCCTTTAGCGAAGACGAAGCAAACATGTGACTGCGGCCCAATACAGTCTCACGGTGCGGTAGATCAGAAATCCCTGAATCCTCATTAAAATCCAGCTGAATAATTTTATGTAGCAAGATGAAAACAAGGTACCACTTTACAAAAAGGCTCCTCTTACAGATGGCTAATAAATAGTTCATAGATTCATCTGTAATCAGTTTTTATATAATTAATAACTGTTTAGTATGCACCAAGTAAGGATGAGAAGGAAACTTTGTGCTAGAAAATTATGTTTAGAAATGCTTACTGTGCTTCTGAGTCAGTCTGAAATGTTTAGTATAACAACTCAAGATAAAATATTTAGGTGAACAGATTTGACTCCCCATTTGGCAAAAAAACGGTAGATTTTGTTGCCTCCTCCGTCTTAATTAATGCATAATAAACAGTAATTAATGATTTATAAAGAGTTTAGATATGAATTAATTACATATCCATGAACTACTTATTAGCTTTATGGTAAAGTGGCACCAAGAAAGTTTATAAGAGTTGATGGATTTCCTCGCAAAGGTCAGAGGTGTCGGGTTGTGAAATGAACGTTTGTATCTCAGGTACGAGCGCCCCATTGCTCTTTTTCTTTTTTCTTTTTTTTTTGTTAAACGCTCGCCACACGTTGGCAGTTCCTTCCTTTGTGTCAACGCTCAAGAGGACGCATGCATGCATGCAGCGTTTCCGTTTGTCCAAACGTTCACCTCACTGCGAGTGGGTTTGCAGCAATGAGTAGCCCACAGGACAACGGTGAGGGAGCAGAGGGTGGTCAAAAAAAAAAAAAAAGGAAAAAGAGCATGACAGGTTGTGCATAATGCAGGAGATAAGTTTGGATTAAATTTTTATCCATGTTGGTTCAGAGTTTGACATTTTACATGCGTACCTTGAGCTAAAACGCCGGGTGTGCGGAGTGACCTCGTTGCAGAGGTTTGACTCCTGAAATGACTGCAAGTGAAAGAGCAAAAAAAAAAAAAAAACGACAAACGGCAGCTCTCTGTTCATTCAGAGCCTGATGGAGGAGAAAACGGGGGGATGGATTACTGAGCAGCCGCGTGCATCTGTCTCATTCCTTTTTATTTATTCTCCTTGTTTGTTTTTTTTTTCTTTTTGCGCCTTCCCATTTCCTCCCCCGCATCTTCAGCACACTTTCGCTTTGCCCTCTTTCAATCCCCCTCCTCCTTCTCTTCTTCATCTTCCTCTCTCTCTCTCTTTTTTTCTCTTTCCTCCGCCTCCCGAGGGAGAAGAGATTCTGCCTGCTGCTCGTTAGTGCTCCCAGCCAATCTGCATTTTTAATTAGTAGTTATTGCTTCTGCTTAATATTCAAGTGCTACCCTGGGCCAAATGGGAATCCTTACAAAAAGAGGAGGAGTGAGCAGAGGAAAGCGAAACCGGCCGGGTATTGTGTTTCTCTCCAGGACCCCAAGACAAAAGCCGCCCCCCCCACCCTCCTCACCACCTCCTCTTCCTCACCCTCACCCTTAGGGAAAGATTTGGTGGGGTTTCTTTTTAGGGGGAGTCGAGGTTGGAGGATGGGTCTAGAGTACAATTCGAAGGGGTGACACATTTTCCTGGTGTCTTTTGCCCCCCTCCGTGCTACATTACAATCTTTTTTATCTCATTCTCTCTTTATCTCCCGAGCCCTGACCTACCTATCTCTCTGTTTATCTTCCCTCCTCTCGCTCTTCTCTCTCTCTCTCTCTCTCTCTCTCTCTCTCTTTAAGGAGTATCTCAACTTCTCCTGGCTTTCTCCTCAGGCTAGGTTAAAGGACACGAACACCGCAGCTCCTCTCATCTCCAGACAGAGGGAGGGCGACGAGGGGGAAAAAAAAAAAAAAAACGAAACAGTTGCTCTCTTTTTCATCTTCAATCTCCTCCCCTCCTCCCCCCCATCCTCCAATAAAATACAGAAGGATTTGACTTGAGGAAACATGAAAGAGGCTTATACCAGAGTCTGCTTTGAACCTCTCCAAAGAAAAAGTGTTTTAAAAACAGTTTTCCCTTCAATTTGGGGATCTTCTCGCCAGTTCTGATTTATGCAGAAAGGCCTCATTTGTCAAGCAGGCTGAGTCAGAGCCCGATTTGCATAAAGCGTTCGTTTTCTGCATTCTGCTAATTAGCAATTTGCAGCTTAATTGGCGCGCTGCTCTCAGTTAGGAGACAAAGCTATATAAAAATATCTCCAGATGTACTTTGTTTCACTTCTCCCTTCCTTCGTCCAGGTGAGGTTCTTCTTCGCCCCGCTCTCCGAGATTTGGCTTCAGCATCATCCTCGTTCTCGTGCACAGCTTTCATCAATTAAAAATGGCTGCGATAAATATTTCAATGTCCCTAAAAGTGGTTGTTTGTAGCGATGAAACCAAGTAATTCTCAACTCTTCTGTCTCACCTTAGGTTGAGTTTCACATATGAGCAGTTTGTTGCATTGCCATGACATGTTTTTTTATTTATTATTTTTTTGCAACCTCCCTGAATCTATGCTAATCAAGCCTTCTGGTCTGAAAAGCGGAGCCCATATTTAGTTTCCTCCTCCAGATGGGGGTGATTTCTCTTGATTTTAAAGAATAAAATTAGCAAAAAACAAACCAAAACAAACATTTTTGACCATGTTGCATTTAATACTGTTTTAAAATTTACAGAATTTTGAACGTTTTAATACTTTTAATGCTGAAATCGTAATGAGCCACAGTCAGTCTTTACGTATGGAGTGCTTTTTATGCACAACAAGTCCAACATGGAGTGATTCAGATCAAATAAAAACAATAGAAAATGGAGAATTTCTATTGGTGGGGTTGCTCTGATTCTTTGCCTGATTGAAACTCTGAATTCGGCTCACCAGGACAGAGATCCAAAGCAAACCTTCAGGTCGGCCTCTGAACGACTGAGATAACAAATGTTTTTGAAGGCCTAGTTAAAGTCCAGTTGAAAAGCTGTAACACGACCACAATAGGACGTTCAGACTCAAAACGAGCCTTTTGTTTACTCTGCTTGATATAAAATGTGTGAATAAGTTTTTACAATGAGATTTGCTATCCACAATGACCCTTAACCTTTCAGATTATGCTTGTTCTGTGATTTTTGTTTGTGCAAGGTAGTTTCTGTGTCAAATTTTCTATATTTAAGCCAGATGATTTATTTGGATCAAACACTTGTTAATTCAGTTGCATCATAGTTTTTGTTCATGAACACTGCTTGTATTGTTTTTGTTTTTTTATGATGACGTAGACCAAATTAGGCTGAAGGGAAACAAACAGTTTATGAAAACGAAACATGATGTTCATCTGCACTGTTGCAAAGGAGCAGCTAATTCACTTTCTTAGAAATTAACTGCTCAGTTTACAGCTCCGTAAAGTTGCTCCCAAGTGGACATTAATCTTTAATTTTCTTTCCCAGGTGGAGCTCAAATGTTTCAATAAACATTTCACTGTATCGTCCGTCCACTAACTCGGGGTTTTTCTCTTCTTGCAGGATGCGAAGAGCCCGCCTTTTTCACTTGCTTTCAGTGTGACGGCGTGTTCTGCTCGGCGTGGGCGCTGCTCCAACACGCCCAGCACACGCACTCCTTCAGCATCTACCAGGAGGATGAGGACGACGACACCTACATGGGAGGAAGAGAGGGTCTGAAAGAGAACAAGTCCGCAGCAGCCGTTCTGGACCCGCGCCACCTGAACCAGGCTCTCGCCTCCGCCTTCCAGCCCACCGCCCAGTGGCGCTCGCGTCAGAACCAAGCTAGCCTCCAGGCCATGAACTTCTCCGTGCGACTCCGGGAACTCGCTGAGGGGAACAACACAGGCCTCAGTTCCCCCATGGCGCCCGTGTTGTCTCCGTCCTCGTCTCCGCCGGCAGCGTCGACGTTTCCTCAGCCTGGCGCCCTCCAGGCTGATTTTCACTGCGAGCTGTGCGACCAGAATTTCCACTCGCTGCGCGCCCTGTCTGCCCACCGCCGGACTCACGCCTGCGACAGGCCCTATCACTGCGGGGTGTGTGGGCAGGCCTTCGCTCAGAGCGGGCAGCTCGCTCGCCACATCAGGGGCCACCACCGGGAGGCTGCAGGCGGAGGAAGTGGGTGCGAGTCGGTGGAGGCGGTTCTGGTGGAGGAGGATACTGGGAGGCAGGGGGCCCGGGGAAGGCTTCAGGGGCCAGGGATGATGGGAAAAGAGCTGGATCTGACCCTCCCCAAGCACCCGACCGTAGCTTCAGGCCTAATGCTGTTGAACTCCCATCTCAGACCACCGGACAGGGAGCTGCTGAGGCTCTACCCAAACCACAGGGCCGGAGGCGAGGAGGCGGCGGAAGGGCAGGGGGAGCCGCAGCCCGCGTCGCCCTGCGCCAGCCCCTCCGAAGGCTCCCTAGAGAGCGGAGATACGGGAGGAAGCGGGGAGAGCGGCATTGCCAGTGGCAACTGCACGCCCAAACGCCCAGAAATGGGCGAGAGAGCACGGGGGGTTGGAGAGTGGGAGAACGAACAAGGAGAACTCGTTGAGAGGGAGAAGGAGTGGGCCTCCGGCGTGCAAGAGTGGCAGAGAGACTTTGAGCGGCGAAGCGCCGCAGGAGCCGCCATCGCCGGCGCGAACGCCAACTCCACTCCAGGTCCCGCTGGGAAGAAGAAGAAAGATGAGGCCTGCGAGTTCTGTGGTAAGCAGTTCAGAAATAGCAGCAACCTGACCGTGCACCGCCGAAGCCACACGGGTGAGCGGCCGTACCGCTGCGGCCTCTGCAACTACGCCTGCGCCCAGAGCTCAAAGCTGACTCGCCACATGAAGACCCACGGTGCCCAGGGGGCCAAGGCCTCCTTCCTGTGCCAGCTGTGTGCCGTGCCCTTCACCGTGTACGCCACCCTGGAGAAACACCTGAAGAAGGTCCATGGCCTGAGCCACGCCAACGTTGGGGCGTACGCGCAGGCCAGCGCCGCAGATACCTTGGCCGCTTTGAGAGCGGGAGAGGAAACGGGAGTCGGGGTGGTGAAGATGGAGGAGGATGAGGTGGGTCTGGAGAGCAAGGCGCAGGGTTACGCAGAAAAAGACATGAAGGTGGAAGAAGGTAGAGGGAGTCCAGCAGCAGTGGAGGATCTTCCACATGAAAGCATTGCTGAGGCGAGCCTAGCTTTGGCTTCTGCTCACTGAATCAGGTTAAAGTGGCGGAGACGCCGCATGACTGTCAGCAGCAGGTCGCAACAACCGAGGCCCGCTGCAGCCAGCAGTTATTCATAATCGACAGCAAAGCTGCTGGCTGAAACTAAGTGCCTACAGTTCTTCAGACCACAGAGAAAAACAAGTCCGTGACATTCAGCAGGGAGATTACCATACCTCGTGAACAGGAAGTGCACTGCCGCAGTCCACACCAACACAGGAAACTGATCACCATGCTGCAGCGCAAAATGCAAGAGAACAAGAGCGTTTCATGTCTGTATCGACCCACTGGACAGATGGCGACGCATCAACCCAATCAGAAGAGATTATGCTGTGTAAAAAAAAAAAAAATTAAAAAGCAATATAATGCTGTTGAGCACTGATGAGTGTGGAGAGGTCAGATCATGCTGTTCTCTGTGGAGAAGACCTTTTAAAGACTTTGGAGCCGCCGCAGGGCTGAAATGAATCCAAACACTGTCTGCCTGTAGTTTGTCACACACTTTTTAAAGCCGCTTGCTTGTCACAACACTTGTCACTTAATGTTTACAAGTCCCATGGGGCCGAGCGAGGCTGTGCTCCTGACTTTGTGAATAGATGCTGCAGTGGATGTGAAAAAAAGAAAAAAGTTTACACACCCTTGTCGAAACGCCAAGATTCTGTGACCTAGAAATGATGAGACCGTGACGAATCATTTAAAAACACGAATGGACGTGTTGGAGGGCGAACTGCAAAACTAAAAAAGGCCCAGTAGCCTGTTTGTGCACCCCCAAATTAAAAGTTTGAAGCACTTTTTAGTTCAGTTTCAACATTCAGTCTGAATTATTTGACATGTCATTTCCACAGCTCTGAACCCCCCTCAAATTGCTTTAGCTCTGAACTTTGACTAAACCGTTACTCGAGCTTTCTGTTCTTCTGGTGGAATCGTTTTAGTGGACTCTTGACTCGTGAATGATAAAACCCATCTTCACCATTGTAGCAAACACCTGAAAAAAAGTGACTGGTGCCCATAGAAGACGAGTAACCCCCAGAGCATGATGGTGCCACCACCATGTCTCTCCATGGTGATGCTGCTGTTTTGGTGCCAAATCTACATTTTGGAATCAGGACCCAAATCTTTCACTGTGGTCCCATCACACTTTTTTACACACAGATTTGGGTCAGAACTGGATGTTTGGAGAAAAAACGGGGTTTTCGTCCGGCAAACGTGAGGTTATTGTCCCAGTCAGTTCAGAGGTTTCTGATGTTGCTGGCAGCATCTGGACCAGATTCAACCTGTGACTCCAATAATTTCCAGTCAAAATAATTATACCCCCCCCCCCCGCTTCTGGAATCGGTTTGGTTAGTTACCCGCTT